TCAATTACCTTCGAGTCATCTTCCTCACACACCTTCTCCATTCCAAACATACAAAACAAACTGCAAAACTGGGATTCTTCGGAGCAAGATTTGAACTCTTGCTTTCTTGGCAATGTTGTCAGGTTAGCCCAAATTCTTATTTTTTCATAAAAAGAAGTTCTTTTGCCCTAACTGGTTTGGCTCAGTGGATAGAGTGTTGGCCTGTGGACTGAAAGGTCCCAGGTTCGATTCCGGTCAAGGGCATGTGCCTTGGTTGCGGACACATCCCCAGTGGGAGCTGTGCAGGAGGCAGCTGATCAATGTGTCTGACTCTCTGTCCCTCTTTCTTCCTGTCTGTAAAAATCAGTAAGATGTATTTAAAAATAAATAAAAATAAAATTCTAAAAACATTTAAAAAAAAAGGTTCTTTACTCCATAAGAGTACTTTTTAGTAGTAATATTAAAATTAAAATTTACATATGCTGTCAGATAGAGCAAACAAGCACAGTAGTGTTATAAGGAACTAAGATTTTCTTTAAAAATGTATTTTTATTGATTTCAGAGAGGAGGGGAGTGGGACAGGGTAGATAGAAACATACATGAGAAAGAATCTTTGATCAGTTGCCTCCTACACACACCACACTGGGCATCCAGCCGTAACCTGGGCATGTGTCCGGAACTGAACCACTGGTTGACCTCCTGGTTCCTAAGTCGAAGCTCTACCACTGAGCTGTGCAGGAACTAAGATTTTCACTAGAAAATATGCATATATTTTTTAAAATTATTAGCTCCTATCTCCCCCTCAGGGCCCATAGTTCGCAATTTTGCTTAAATGTCTGATGTCAGATGCCCACCCGGAGGTCCTGGGGCTCGCTGCCTGAAGTCAGGGCCTATGGGGGCCTGGGAACCCCCCCCCCCCCCAGCCCTGGTGGCTGTGACCAAGGACCTGCCTTTGCCTGAAGCTCCCTGGAAGGTCAACAGGAGACCCTAGGCCAGGCCGGGCCAGGCTGTGGGGCCACAGCGTCTCCCGATGGCAGTGAAAGGGGGGCAGACACGGGATAGGGGTAGGACCGCGGTGGTTTAATGTTATTCACTGACGTTTTTCTTACAGACTCTGCAACTTGGAGGGGGAGCTGCGAGAAGGGAGAGCTGTAGGAAGATAAGGGGTGCCTTGGGGCGAATGGGTTCACTGCTCAGAAAACACATTTGAGAACAAACTACAGGAATGGGTCCAGCTCCCTCCAGGAGTTTGCCTCAGGAATGCTGACCTTCCTCCAGGCCTTTTGTTGTTCATCCTCACCTAAGGTTCTTTTTCCACTTTTAGGGAGGGTGGGAGGGAGGAAAGGACAGAGACATTCCAGTGAGAGAAATACATAGATTGGCTGCCTCCTACACAAGCCCAGACAGGGCCAGCCGGGGAGGAGCCTGCAGCCGAGGAGTGTGCCCTTAATGGGAATCGAGCTCAGGACCCTTCTTCGGTCCATCATCCACTGAGCCAAACCGGCTAGGGCAGGAGCTGGATTTTAACACCATTGTAAATTATCTTGATATCAGGACTTCAAGCTCCTGGAAAGAAATACGGGGACCATAGCCCCTGCAACCATTCCCCTCGTACCCAGCTTCCTTCTTTATCCCTGTACCGCCAGCTCATGGCTAAGCAGAACTTACAGGATGACTGCTGCTCACCCATACTGCCCGCATTATTGGAATCAAGGCTCACACGATTCACTCTTATCTCTGCCTAATTTGGCTCAGGAGTCAAATTAGGCAGAGATAAGAGTGAATTGTAGCCTTTATTCTAATAATCTTTGAGCCTTTATCCGCTTTGTGTCCTGTGTCACAGGCACTGGAAGGGACCTCACTCTAGGGGTTTCAAGCTATGCCCAGGGCTTCCAAGGGCCCCAGGGTACCTCTGAGCCCTCCAGCACCTCCCAGGCTGACCCATTGGGTCAAGAAGTAGCTCTGCTCTTGTCCATGGGTAGAGGCTTTGGCGATAGCAGCTCTGGGCTTAAGGAGAAATAGGAACGTAAGCTCCGTTGGGTAAATGCAGGCTGACAGACAAATTCTTTTATAAGCCGGTGAGAGACAGCCAGGCTGGGCCAAGGGCTGCCAGTTACCTAGGCTCCAATGAAGCATCACCAAAGTCACCCGTGGTACAGTCGCCACCGACCCCCGACTCCGGGCCCTCCCTTGCAGGGCTCCTTGGCCAGAGCTGGGGCTCAGATCCTGGTTCTGCCACCAGAGCTGTGGGCCTGCACTATAACTTCCTCTCTGCCGCTGAAGGGAGAGGAGCAGACCTGACCCGGATTCCTCTGTGGATGACACAGGTGGGGGAGAGCTGTCTGAACCTCCCTCTCCTGCGCCTGGGGCCTCGGGCACCCCCGGAGCTGGTGAGGATGCAGACTCTGAGGCCCTGGCCCTGCCCTCGGGGCCAGAACTTGCTCCCTGGTGGGGTGTACTGGGTTCTCTCCCCCAGGCCTGCTCAGGAGAACCCCCCCCCCCCCCCCCCCGGGAGCAAAGAGGTGGACTGTGAGCTGCCCACGTCACTTTATCCTTTTCTACTTTATTACTTCAAATTAACAACCACAATAAAGCTCAAAAAAGTCCAATATTTACACAGGAAAAAAGTACAAAATTCCCCCCAAAGTTCTTCAGTATTTTTTTTTTCAGTTTTTTAAATTACAAAGTTATAAAAAGCTTTGCTCTTTAATTAAAAAAAAAAAAGAAGAGAAGAGGAAAAGAAAGAAGGGGAAACAGAGGTAAATAAATTAGGAAATACACACACAGGAGAAAACAAACAGAAGTAAAAACGGGTGTTAACTAGGAGGGATCGGTGGGTAAGGCCAGCGCCCAGCCCTGACCCGGGTCCTCGCCGGAGAGGCCGGAGCAAGGGGGTGGCCCCGGGGGTGTCGGGACCAGGGAATTCATCCACCCCCGGGAGCCAGGTGCTTCCTGGGAGCCTCCAGGCCTTGGGGACAGGGCTGCCGCGGGCGACGAGGGGCTGGTGGTGGCCAGGACACTCAGGCAGGCCGTCACCACCCGGTGTCCTGGGTAGAGGATGAGAACAGAAACCCCGCCTGGCAGGGGGCAGGCCCTGCTGTCCGGGAGACCAGGTCACGTACGCGCACACAGGCACAGGAGGACGCTCGGCCGCCATCATCTCACCGCCCACAACTGAAGTCCCCTTGCAAAGGCAAAGGATGGCCGAACGCTCAGGGGGCCCCGGGCTCGGGGGGCACCGGGAGGAGCCCCGAGGGAAGCCAGCCACCATGGCCCCGGGCAGCGGGGCCGAGTCTCCTGTGGTTCTGAAGCTCAAGACACCCGGTGAGACCGTCTCTGCCCAAACCGTCCAACCATCCCCAGGCTCCTGGCCGCCCTCTCCTGGCCTCAGCGTCACCGGGCAGGGCCTCGGCGGGCGCCTGGCACACGCGCCTGGTGTCCGGGGAAGCCTTTGGCAGCCTGAAGGCGTGGGCGGCGGGAAATGCGAAGGGACAAGAATCCTCGGTGCGGAGGGCATCTCATCTTCTTGCCGTTGGCCAAAAAAAAAAAAAATAATAATAATGATAATAAAAATAAAAAATTAAAGAAACAAAATCCATCGTCGCTTTTGTGCTGGGTTTTTGTCGTTTTTGTTCTTTTGAGTGGTTTTTCCCCCATCTTTTTGTTGTCTTTTGAAAGGAAATACAGTGAAGACACTGAAAAAACGAGAGAAAGGAGACAGATGAGCGGTGCATTTGCCTCTGGCCACCCGTCTGCCGACGCCCTTCACCTCCCGTCTCCTCCTCCCGAGTCTCTGCCCGGGCCGCCGTCTGGGGCACACAGTAGGTGGTCCTTTTCCACAGGAAGGACACTATCGCCCTCCTGTCCTCCCGGTGAGCAGCCACCCGGCCAAACGTGCCACAGACAGGCTGGTTCCGGCGTTAGGTCCCAGCTTGATCTGTGCCATGACCTCCTCAGGGGTGAGGCCTAGCCCCAGGCTCAGACCCGCACTGCCCCCCGCTCCACGCCCGACCCACATGGGGTGCCAGGAGGCTCACGCCCGGGCTTGTGGAGGCCCAGGGTCTTTGCTGGTTATGTTAGAGCCGTGGCCAGCAAACTCATTAGTCAACAGAGTCAGATACCAACAGTACAATGATTGAGATTTCTTTTGAGAGCCACATTTTTAAAAAGATTTTTAAATATATTTTTATTGATTTCAGAGAGGAGTAGAGAGGTAGAAACATCAATGATGAGAGGGAATCATTGATTTGCTGCCTCCTGCACGTTGGACTGAGCCCGAAACCCAGGCATGTGTCCTTGACCGGAATCGAGCCTGGGACCCTTCTGTCTGCAGGCCAACACTCTATCAACTGAGCCAAACCGGCGAGGGTGAGAGCCAATTTATTTATTTATTTATTTATTTATTTATTTATATTTTATTGATTTTTTTACAGGGAGGAGAGAGGGATAGAGAGCTAGAAACGTCGATGAGAGAGAAACATTGACCAGCTGCCTCTTGCATACCCCTGACAGAGGATGTGCCCGCAACCAATGTACATGCCCTTGACCGGAATCGTACCTGGGTCCTTTCAGTCCACAGACCGACGCTCTACCACTGAGCCAAACCGGTTTCGGCGAGAGCCAAATTTTTTAAACTTAAACTTGATCTAATGCACTACTTCAAAATAGATTTGCCCAGGCCGTGGTATTTTGTGGAAGAGCCACACTCAAGGGGCCAAAGAGCTGCATGTGGCTTGCGAGCTGCAGTTTGCCGACCACGATGTTAGAGCAAAGAGGGTGTGGAGGACAGGCTGGAGGACAGGGAAAGGGGTTTCCAGCAGAAATTGACGGATGTGGGCCAGGTCTGTTCAGAAGGTCCTTGAAGGTCCTTGGCTGTGGGGTCCCTGGTCCCATCTGCGACCTCCCTGCCCCTCCACACACACACTGGCCTCCTCCTGGGGCTACGGGTGTTTCCAGAGTGGGTGGGCTGTGCTGACCGGCTGTCACTCACCTAAGCAAATACTGGTCCGATGGAGCCGCCCTCACTTCCCGAGGTGGTCAAATGGCACGCTTGTCTGGGAGGGGAGAGCGAGAGGGGAAGGGATAAGCTGCCGGCCTTGGGGCAAGGCTACCACGGAGCTCCACCCCACCCACCAAGGCCCAAGCCAAGGGCAGGGTGCGTGACCTCAATGGCCCCAGGATATTGCTGCAAAGCAGCCGCTCCAGGCCACGCACAACCGCGCCCGGCGACCGGATGCCCAGCTCCTGGCCCGACCTGCTGAGACCTCTCCACCGTGGACCAGAGCAGGCTCCTCCCACCTCTGCCAGGACACCCTCCTTGGTCAACCAGGATTCCCCTTCCCCAACTTTCCTGGCCCCAAACATGGCCCCTAGGATCCCCCCAGCCTCCATCCGGTGCGAAGTGGGACACGGGGGGGGGGGGGGGGGGGGGGGAGACACACTCCTGAAGGCAGGGACTGAGTCCCTCCCCTGCGAGCCCCGCTGCCCACCCAGGCTTCCCCTGCTGGGGCAGGTTACGTCTGACTCTGCTCAGGGGGGCCAGTGAGATGGCGGAGGACGAGAGGCCGGGTCCCGGCTCCCAGGTCGTCGGACTCCGCGGACAGGGAGGAACCGGGGGCTCTGGCTCAGCGGGCGGCTCACCTGTGAGGCTGAAATCCGGGAGACCTCTTGCCGCCCAGTAAGGTCGGAGGACGAAACGTTGGCCGGCGCGCCCCTGTGTAGCCTCATGCTCACCTTCCTCTCTCTGTCGACCCGTGAGATCGCTCTGGGAGAAGTATTGCCTGGAGGGTGAGGCAGGGGGAAGCCGCCCTCAGTGTCCGGGCCCTGCCTGCCCGGCCCCCCGTGGGCTCAGCTCGCCGCCCGGGCCCCTGCTCACCAGCTTGCTGGATACGGGAGGCCGGGGTAGAGGCCACAGGCTCGGCAGCACTGCGGAGCCGGTTGGCGGGGGTCCCCGTGGGCGGGCCGGGGGGCAGGGCCCGGGTCGCAGAGCCCCGGAGCTGCCCCATCCTCTCCTCGCGCTCGTGCTCTCGCCGCTCCCGGTCCACGTCCTCGGGGTTCCGGGCTGCACCCTGTGGGGAGGCAAGAGGAGGCCCGGTCAGCCCTGCAAGGTCAGGGCGCCCTGGGGCCCAGCATCCCCGCGGGGCACCTTGGGGAAGGGGCATCACAGAAACCCTCTGGACTAACTCCTCCCCGAGCAGGAAGCCGGAGAGGCCAGCAATGACCCACGATCGCACAGCAAGAGGAACAGAACCACAACCTGCCCAGAGGGAGGAGGAAGCTGGGTGTGAGAGGGGAGAGAGGTCCCTCTGCCCTGGTCTCAGAGGGCAGCCAGGCCGGGGGGCGGCTAATGTCCTAGCGCCCCCCCTGGCTCTCCCAACCTGGTCCTCTCCGTGAACAGAGCTCTCAGCTCCTCGAGGCTGCCCAGCACTGCAGGGCAGGTGCTCAGAGGCCAGAAAGGAAGCTACAAGGCTGCCAAGGCCAGGATGGGACTCGAACCCGGCCTCCCAGCCGGGGATCTTTCCAAAGGGCTGCTTGTCTCCTGCCCCTGGCAATGGCTCCTGGCGGATGCCAAGGGGGCCACCACCACACAGATGCTGCCTGCACAGGGGAGCTGGAGAAGGAAGGCGCCCGGAGCCCACGGAGGAAGGAGACACCGAGCAGGCAGGCGGGCAGAGGGCTGAGCCCAGGGGAGGCCCGGAGCGAGGAGCGCGGTGTGGGGGCGGCGTCTGGCCGCGTTACCTAGTTGGTCCTGGGGTCGTCCACAGGGAAGGGCGGGGGGCTGGCGCGGGGGGGGCCGCATCTGTGGAGGAGAGAGCTGGGGGCTGAGTTGGGGCCTGCTCATGGGCACGGGGTGCGGGCTCTTGCAAACCCCGTGTCTCCCGGGGAGCTGGCCGAGAAGGCCCCACTGTCTCCGGGGAACAGGGGAGGCCCTCGCCTTTAAGTAACCTGGGAGGGAGTGGCCGGGGATCGAAACGATCCCTGGATCCCATCACTGAGGCCCAGAGGCCTCAGGACCCGCCTGGGCCACAGCTCAGGGCAGACAGAGCCCGAGTGTGAGCTAGTCCGCTCTGCCCGCACCCCCAGACTGAGCAGGACATTCTAAAAGTGAAAATCCTGTCCTCCCGCCCGCAGCCTGTCCGGGTGGGCTCCCGCTCCCGACCTCAGTCCCCTGCCCCCTGGCTCCCGCCCACTTTCCCAGCTGCAGAGCCGCCCAGCGGAACCACCGCGGACCGAGCGGCCGCACCCACGCAGGAGCCCCCGTGGAGGTCAGCGCCCACTCCCCGGCGGGCACTCCGGCGACGGGCTCGGAGGCGGGCTCCTCTCTGTGCTTCCATCCGAGCCAAGTGACGCCTTGAGAAACGAGTACCAGGGAGATCCCTGAGCTTTATTTTCCACAAGAACAGACACGGTAACCACCCCGTCACCGCCTGCGCTGCTCGGACCGTCCCGGGCCCGGCCTTTCTCCCTGGCAGCCGGTCGGCCTCCAACAGTGGCGAACGCAGCATCCAGACTCCGGGTCTGCAGGCTCCAGGCTTCACCCTGGAGGCTCCAAGGCTCTCCGTCAGGGCGGATCTTCCTGCTGCCCAGCCTGGCCCGGGCCCAGAGTGGCACCCATCTGCTGGCGGGTGCTGCAGGCTCCCGCAGGGGGCACTGTGCCAGTCCTGCTTCCGCTGAAAGGCGCTAGGTCCCCAGCGCGTGTCTGCGGGCGCCGAGGTCAGAGCTGGAGGTGCCGCCTGCACCTTGCCCCGCTTGACTCCAGGGCCTGCTTCCAAGGGGACCCCAGGATGGGGTGGGGGTGAGTTCTGGCCTGATGAGACGAAATCTTGCCGGCGGATGATGCGATGGGAGGCTCTGAGGAGCCTATAGCCAACACTCCACAGCTCTCCGTGACGGCCACGTCCACATCGGCTCGCAGACGAGCCAGCCCCTGTGGCTCCTGAGAACTCCGATGCGGCAGGTGTGACGGATGCGTGACATTCCCAGCTCGGGTGAACTTGAACCAATGAAGACGTAGCCCTCGAACAGGGCTGCCACGTTGAAGGACAACGTGGAACCGAGACGGACCGAGCACCTCCCAGACCCAGGCTCTGAACGAGCTCCACACGGTGAGCGAGGTCCCACGACCGACTCCCTGGAGGTGCCCTGAGGCAGGAAGAGCCGGCCCCGGCCCTCGGGCCCCCCTACCCGCTCCCCCCCCCGCTGAGAGGTCCGGGTGGGAGGTGCCCCCCTGCCACTCCACCCTCTCCCCAGGGGCCCTGGGCCCCCGGAAACGCTGGTCCTGGCCCAGCCTCCGTCCCACACCTTAGGGAGCAGGTCCAGGCCACTGTCTGAGGCGCAGAGTGGAGGCACAGACCCCAGCTGCCCCCCCGCCCCCGCCCTGCCCGGAACAAGGCCCGGGTCCCGACCGCCTGCCGGAGCGGCGGGGGCCGAGAGGAAAGGAGAGGCAACTCAGCGAGGCGGGTGCAGGGGGGCGTTTAATGAGCTCAGGTTCGTACAAAGGCTGCTGCCAGGTCTGCCGAGCGGCTCCCGGTGCCCAGCCCAGGCCCAGGCCCTCCAGGGCAGGGAACCACCCCTCTTTCCGGCTCTGTCCATCAGGCCACTGACTCACCCCCAAGCATCTCTGGGCAGGGCCTTCTCCGCCACGCCCCCCCTACTGCCCCCTCTCCCCCATGCCAAGGGACACCTCCTCAGGCCCAGCCCCGACGGGCTGAGGCACCGGGTGCTGTCAGAACTGGGGCCCTGGCGTCCAGACCACAGGCCAGCAGTTTTGGGGGGGCAGCTCCTCCACCTCCTCCACCGGCCTACCTGCAGGGCCCAGGGTGCCCAGGGGCGCCGGGCACCTAGAAGGGACAGAGAAAGCGCAGCGGAGGCTCAGCCTCTTGTGCTCAGCCGGCCAAGTGGTGAACCGTGGAAGGGCCAGGCCTCGGGGGGTCCTTACCAGTACGTGTGTGAGTACGCGGGCCCGGCACTGGGAGGGGGGTGGGGGCAGGGCGTCGCGATAGCCTCGCAGTCACGGGGCTGAGCCTGGCTCGAGGAAGCCCCCTTTTCCAGGAGAGACGTGAAACAAGTCACACGGTTTCTGATGCCAGAGCTCCAGGCACGACGACTCCCACCCCCCCAACCCTCCTGCCAGGCCCTCAACAGAGGGAGACACAGCAGCCGCCCAGCAAGGCCCAGGGGCCCGTGACCAGTAAGAGAGAGACCACGCTGAAGGGGTCCGGGCTGGCCAGGGGGGCCGCGGAGAAGGCGGCCGCCTGGGCCGTGCAGAACAACAAGAGCAGGAGGGTGTAGGCGGCGATCATGACGGTCGGGGGCCCTGCCAGCGCCACCCAGGCCCGGCCGCGGGGGCCCAGGAGGGAGCGGAGGCCCAGCCAGGTCCTCCGGGGTCTGGTGGGGGGCCGTGGCTGGCCATACGCGCCGTCGGCGTCGACGAGACAGGAGCGGGAGCAGTGTGGGGGCTCGGGGTCCAGCTCATAGCGCCTGTCCTCCGGGAGCCCCGCCCCCCACAGGGTCACCTTGGCCCGGTGCGCCAGGGCCTGCCCCGTCCAGCCCCCCTCGCCCGCCGGGGCCTGCGGCTGACTCACGAATTTGAGCATGTTCCAGTCGAAGACGTAGTCGTAGGAGAAGCCCTGCCGGTGGAAGAGGTTGCGGAAGAGCTGGCGCAGGTACGAGTAGTCGGGCTTGTCGTCGAACCGCAGGGAGCGGCAGAAGTTGAGGTACGTGGAGAACTCGGCTGCGGGGGGCGGAGAGGCCACCGTGAGGCCCGCGCTCCGGGCCCCGGCGCTGTCCTGTCCGCCCACCCGCCCCCGCACGTTCCGTCTGGGAGGGGCAGGAGCACAGAGGGGCCATGGCTCTCCCTCCGGGATGAGCCCAGACCTGCCCGGGAACAGGGCCCCGAGGATGAGGACGGGGGACGGTGCAGCCCCCCCCCCCACCCCGCTGGGGCTGGGAGGGGGCAGGTCAGCAGCTGCCACGAGTTCCAAGGCCCAGCCGGGGGCCGGGGAGACGCCCAGCGTGCCCTAAGCCGCAGGTTGGAAGAAGACTTCCATTTCCTCCCTGAAATTAGGGGCGAGAGGGGCCTTCGTACGGGAACAGAAAACATCCACGTTGGTCCCTGGCCCTGAGCGCCTCAAACCCGGGTCACATCCTAAGCGGTAAGAATGGTCCTTGTCCCAGCCGAGACTGGTTTGGCTCAATGGATAGAGCGTCGGCTTGGGGACTGAGAGGTCCCGGGTTTGATTCCGGTCAAGGGCATGTGCCTTGGTTGCGGGCACATCCCCAGTAGGGGGTGTGCAAGAGGCAGCTGATCGATGACTCTCTCTCATCGATGTTTCTAGCTCTCTATCTCTCTCCCTTCCTCTCTGTATAAAATCAATAAAATATATTAAAAAAAAAAAAAAAAAAAAAAAAAAAAGAACGGTCCTTGTCCTAATATTTGGTCTCTGACCCTGTCCTTGACCCGGGGCTCCTACATCCCTGTAACTTCTAAGTGGCAGGAGCAGCAGCAGCGTCTCGTCCTATGGAGGTGACGCGGGGTGGGGCCCTGGGGGGGCTGGGCCCAGGACAAGCCACAGTCAGGAGTGTGGAACCTGTGTCCCTCCCCACCTCCCAACGTCCCTAGAGAAGGGAAAGGGCCAGAGATGGAGTCCTCTGATCGTTCTGGGTTTGGAGACCTTCCAGCGGGTGCCACACCCCAAGCCACGGGGAGGGGAGGGTCCCGCCCTGTGCCTCTCTCCACCTGCCCGTCACCCATGCCCCTCATCACACCCTCCATAACCCGCTCAGTGTGCTTCCCTGAGGCCTGGGAGCCGCGCTGGCACATCGTTCAGACTCGGGGAGGGGGTCCCGGGACCCTGGGTGTGGGTGGGAAGCTCGGGGGGACTGGCCGGGGGCATCAGTTGGTGACAACAGTGGTGGGACTGAGCCCTCGGCCTGTAGGGTCTGACCCTACCTCCTGGGAGACAGTGTCAGGATCGAGGCAAATGGCAGGATACCCAGCGGGGGTCCCGGGAAGTGGGTGGTGGGGGAAGAGCCCCCGCATTTGGTGACCAAAGCGTCAGGCATGGGAGTTCGGGAGGGAGGAGAGAGGGCTCCTTTTCCCTGACGCTCCGGCCCTGGAGGGAGGGGAGGCAGGACTGGGGGGGGGGGGGGGGGGGGTGCTGAGCGCCTCCCGGCCAGGCCTCCCGCCATGCCGCGCTGTGACGGAGCTCGCGGTTCCTGTTCTGGTGCCGGGGCAACGGCACCCCAGATGGACGCTGCGGCCCCGTCTCCCCCCGGGAAAGGGCCTCGGGTCCCCCCGCTACTCACAGGGGTAGCCTTTGCAGAGGACCTCGATGGGCGTGGACATCTTCTTCTCGCTGATCCGCTCGTACTTCTGGCGCTTGGTGGCGGCCTTGAGGCCCTGCCAGGGCAGGGAGCCCAGGTTGAAGTACATGAGCACGTAGCCCAGGCTCTCCAGGTCGTCCCGCCGGCTTTGTTCTGCACGGAGGGGCGGGGGGACCGACACATCAGCATGCGTGCACCTCGCGCCCCCTGCCCCAGCGTGCTGCAGCCCTGTGACCAGCAGGCCATCTCTGACTCCTCCTGCAGAGGAGGAGCCTGAGGCTGAGCCTTCTCAACTCAACCTGGGCCTACGGTTTTTGGTGGTGGAGGTGGGCGCTAGTTTTTCCAGGGCAACCGTTCACCCGGCAGCTCGGGCCTCCTTGCCTGGCCCACCTCGCAGACAAGCTGTGGCATCAGACACAGCTGGGGTCCAATCCGGCTCTGGCACGTGCTGAGCCAACAACCTTAAGCAACCCGTGTCACCGTGTGAGCCTGTAAGCACGGGGGGCGGAGTCGGGCAGGAGGGCCTGCTGGGGTGCCGCAGCTCCTCTCTGAGAGGGAGGGCCTGACGCTGTGGGAGCCGGGGGAACGGCGGGGGGAACAGCCAGGCTGCAGAGTGCCAGGATGTTGGCCAGCAGCCCTGACACTCACCGATGCCCAGGTGGGTGTTGATGGAGGCGTAGCGGGCGGTGCCGGTCAGGTTCTTGTTTTCCCGGTAGGGGATGTGCTGGTGGGTGCGGGCGTCCCGGTACTTCTTGGCCAGGCCGAAGTCGATGATGTACACCAGGTTGCCCTTCTTGCCCAGCCCCATGAGGAAGTTGTCGGGCTTGACGTCCCGGTGGATGAAGTTCTTGGAGTGGATGTACTCGATGCGGCTGATCTGGGGGACGGGAGGGGACAGCACGGCACTCAGCCAGCGCTCCAGAGGCCTGCGCCGCGCGCTGGGCCAGGCCCGGGCCGGGGGAAAGGATGCTGGTGAGGTGATTGCAGGAAGCAGGTCAGGGAGGGCTGCCCGGGGGAAGCGCCATGAGAAAGCGGCTTGGGAGGAGGAACGTCTGCTGTGAGTCCGAGAAGAGAGCGAGGCGGCAGGAAAGCTACAGGCGAGGGCTGGAGGCATCCGAGCCCACGGGAGCCGCTCCTGCCTGGCTCTGCGCCCTCCTCGGACCCGGAGCCGGGGTCAGAGCATCTGGAAGGCTGTTCTGGCGACAGGTTGAAAGGGAGGGGGGAGAGGGAGCTCCAAAAAGCCTGAACTTGGCAAGGATGAGAGATGACCCTCACAAGGACGGGCTCCGCCTCCCGGCCTCCCAAGTACACCGAAGGCGGGCAGGCATAGAGGCCCTTCTTTAAACAATTTACATAAAAGAATAAAAAACAAAACCCTGAATTGGCATATATGCACACAATATGTCCTCTGACAGGCCAGTCCTTGCTGGGGCCTCGGCCTTCTGTACATCAACGCCTCCTCCGCGTGGCCAAGTATTTCCTAAACCTCTGACTCTCATATCCTATGAGGCTGATCCCCCTCCTCGGCACACACATTTAGCCGAAAATCGCAGGTAATATTTTTATGTTTGTATTGATTTCAGAGAGGGAGGGAGAGAGAGAGAGAACATCAATGGTGACAGAGAATCACTGATTGGCTGCCTCCTACACGCCCCACTCTGAAGATGGAGCCCACAACCCGGCAAGTGCCCTGACCCGGAATCGAACTGGGACCTCCTGGTTCATAGGTGACGCTCAACCACGGAGCCACACCGGCCGGGCTATTTTTATATTGTGAAAATATAAAAATATATTTTCAAGTATATTTTTGAGTTTATAAAGGGCTTTAGGAACCGAGGATGCTGGGCGGTGGGCGCCCCTGCTGGTCCTGGCACTCTGAGCATTCCCCTCGACGTCATGACAACCCAGCAGAGGGGAGTCTCACCTGAGGGGCTGAGGCTTAGCTCACGGCAGTCACCTCACAGGACGGACCTCGACCACAGGCTGTATATCACCCGCATTAGACGCTACCTCCCCATTTTACAGCCACGGTTACGGAACCAGGCCCGTGCCACGTCCCCGTTCCCGCCTCCTGCTCCGGCACCCTCCGGCTGGCACCCTGTGGCCACGGGCAGGACGGGCAGGCGGGGGTGGGAGGGGAAGCGTGCGCCCGGCAGGGCCCTTGGCTCTGGCCGGCCGGCGATGGACTCACCATCTGGTCGGCCAGCAGCAGCACCGTCTTGAGGCTGAACTTGCGGGAGCAGAAGTTGAACAGGTCCTCCAGGCTGGGCCCCAGCAGCTCCATGACCATCACGTTGTAGTCGCCCTCGGCCCCGCACCACTTGATGGACGGGATTCCCACTGGGGGCCAGGAAGGGGGGCTCTCAGGGGAGGTCCTTCCTGGCCCCGGACCAGCCTCCAGCCGCCCCTCCGCTCCCCCCGCCCCCCAGGCCGCCCGCCCCCGCCCCCGCCGGCCGGCCCTCACCTCCGCCCTGCATCATCTTGTAGAACTTGCTCTCGATGTGCAGCTGCGGGTGCTTCGTCTTCACACATTCCAGCTTGATGGCAACTTCTTCACCAGAAGCAATGTTGGCACCTGCCCGGGGGATGGGAAGCAAGGGTCAGGGTCCCATCGGCTGGCGGGCAGCTGTACACCAGCACCAACTGTGCCTGTGCCCGAGCTGGCTCAGTGCCCTCGGGGCGGCAGAGGGCTCAGCACTGTATCCGAGGGAGGGAAGTGGAGGGAGCTGTGGGCACAGGGGGGCACCCGAGCCAGCTTGGGGGGAGAAGAGCCTAACTAGAGCCGCACAGGGGGAAGGGGTGGGGAGAGGGCCGATTAGAGAACCGTGGGCTGTGCAGCAGGGAGTCCCGGTTCCAGGGGGGACAGGCGGGGCTCAGAAGGCTCACAGACCACGTGAGGGGAACCTTATCCTGGCGGGTGGGGGCCACCGAGCTGGAGAGGTGAGGCCAGTGGGGGCCAGGCTGTGGAGGAGAGGATGGGGTGGGCAGGCTCCCTCTGCCCAGCTATGATAAAGGGTGGGTTCGTGCAGAAGGGCTGGGGGCTGGGCTGAGAGGCAGCCTCCTTGTCAGGACAGCAGGACCACAGCTGCTCTAACTAACAGTGTGGAGTCAGCACACAGGCAGACAAAGCAGAAAGGCCAGAGAATTCCGGAGGATCAGGCTGGCACCCCACATCAAGGGAAAGGCTGGGGGTGCAATAAACATCCTGGCACACCTGGCTAGCCACGTGACAGTCACCCCAGCTTTCGGCACGTTCCAGGAGGAAGCCCAAGTGGACCAAAAGTTTCTACTAAAAAAAAAAAAAAAAAAGTGGGGTGGTCCGGCCGGTGTGCTCAGGGGTTGAGTTTCAACCAATGAACCAGGAGGTCACGGTTCAATTCCGGTCAAGGGCACATGCCCAGGCTTTGGGCTCAACCCCCAACAGGGGGCGTGCAGGAGGCAGCCAATCAATGATTCTCTCTCATCATTGATGCCTCCATCTTTCTCCCTCTCCCAAATCAATAAATATATACCGTATATAAAAGAGGCTAGAGGGGGTCAATCAGGAAAAGGGGGGATGTGTATCATTTTCAGCAATAAAGACAATTTAAAAAAAAAATTAGCATATCCTAGGATAGGGATAAATAAATGCCTACACACATAAGTTTTAAAAGCTGGGGTGTGAGTTGGCCCAGCCACTTTAGAACCAGGTTGGCGTTTAGCTAATAAAGGGAAACACGCATGACCAGGCAAGCCAACCCCCAAGTGCATGCTCTTCAGAAACATGAGCACCGGGAGGGCAGGGCAAGACCGAACACAGCAGCGACGGCCCCAATGCCCGGCAGCTGGAGAACGGCTTCGTCCGGAGGCGGGCGGGCGAGGAGACGGCGCTGCGGGCGTCTTAGCACCGAGCGCCAGAGAGCAAGGAGGCCCCATTCTCAGCCAGAAGCGCCCACACCCGAGTGGCCGTGGACGGACATGCAGGTAAAACACATGTGCCTACGCCGAAACTGGTTTGGCTCAGTGGATCGAGCATCAGCCTGTGGTCCCGGGTTCGATTCCAATCAAGGGCATGTTCCTTGGTTACGGGAACATCCCCAGTAGGGGATGTGCAAGAGGCAGCTGATCGATGTTTCTCCTCGGTGTTTCTAACTCTCTACCCCTCTCTCTTCCTCTCTGTAAAAAAATCAATAAAATATATTAAAAAAAAACACACACACACATGTGCCTACATGTGCAGTGGGCTATTACTCAGCCATAAAAGGGAATGACGTACTGACACATGACACAACATCAATGAACCTTAAAAACATGTTACGTGAGTACGCCAGACACGAAAGGACAAAATACTGTATGGTCCCATTATACGAAATATCCCGAACAGTTCAGTCCCTGGAGGAAGAAAGCAGATCGGTGGACGCCGGGGGTGGGGGCAGTGACATGGGGAGTCCGCCTGTGTAATGCGCACAGGGGCTCCCTTTGGGGTGATGCAGACGGAGCAGAACCAGGCTGCACGACACTGGGAACGCATCGATGGCCACCGAGCTGACTCAGCTGGCTGGAGCCACCTCAGCACCCAAAGGCTGCAGGTTCCATCCACAGTGGGTCAGTCAGGGTGCACATGGGAGGCAACCAATAGATGCTTCTCTCTCTCTCTCTCTCTCTCTCTCTCTCTCTCTCTGTTCAATAAACATATCCTCCGGGGAGGATTTTTTTTTAAAGATTACTTTTATGTCATGTGAATTTCACCTCCATTATTTTTTAAAAGGAGAAAGGGAGTGACAGGAAGGCAAGCACATTTTATTTGTCTCCATTTCAAGGCAAACAAACAAACAAACAAAAAAATGCAACACCAACTGAGCATCAACCTACAAACCAGGAAACCATGGTTCAATCCCTGGTCAGGGCACGTGCCCACTTTGTGGGCTGGATCCCTAGCGTGGGGCGTGCAGGAGGCAGCCAGTTAATGACTCTCATCACTGATGTTTGTATCTCTCTCTCTCCTTTCCTCTCTGAATTGTCTTCTAATTTGGGGCCAGGCAAGGCTTTTTACTCCTGACTTAAACTCCGGAAGCCGTTAAAAAGGAGGAAAAAATGGCCTGCTCACCTCCCAAAAAAGGAATCCCTTCTCCATGGCAAAAATACCAAAAACAAAGTCCTAAAAAACATACACTTGAAACCCCTCTCTCTCAGCAGCAAAGAGCTCGCATTACGTGGCTAATCTATAAGAATAAAAGAGTAACATGCTAATTAGACCAGAGGGCCTTCCAGACATTCTTCCTGACAAGCCAGGGTGGAGGGAAGCCAGCCCGGGTCCCGGGTGCCTGTGGGGGGCCCGAGGGAAGCAGCCCGGGTCCCAGGTGCCAGAGGGAAGCTGGCAGCAAGGGGAGAACGGCTTACTCTTGCATGAATTTTCGGGCATTGGGCCTCTAGTATAGCACAACCAGCTCCGAAAGACCAGTAGGAAAAAGAGCAAAGATTCAATAGCAAATAGGGTAAAAGATTGGAACAGATACTCCAGAGAGGAAGAAATCATTAATGTAAAAATGGCTTCCTCATATGAAAAGATGTCCTATCTACCTCCTTGTAGAAGGAATGACCATTTTCCAGCTACAATTGGCAAAAGCCCCACCAGAAGTCGACAGGATGCCCGCTGTGAGGCGTGGGGCAGTGGGCACTCCAGCCCAGGGGGTCCCGGGGAACCGCAGATCCCCGCAGGGGGCCATCTGCCACTTCGGAGATTCCTGGGCACCCTGGCCCGGTGCAAACACGAGGCCGGACCAGGCGGCCCACTGTGGGCCGTTTGTAATAGCAAAAGCCTGGAAACAGCTGAGATGCCCATCCCTCCGGGCCGGTTATGCAAAGAATGAGCCAGCCACAGCGGGACTCCAATGGAGAAAGAATGAGGAAGCTCTCTGAGCAGAAGTAGAAAGATCTCAAAGATACAGGAAGTGAGAAAGCAAAGCACAGAACACTATGTATCTTATGCTCTCTTTTCGGTACAAAAAAAAAAAAAAAAAGCAAGGAAATAATATGTGTCTATGTTTGGTTGTATCTATATAAAGAAACACTGAAAAAAACATGAGAGCCAGGGAAGACACTGCGCTGGCTACTCTGTTACGCGCTATCATTTTTTCCTGCCTGGAGCGGATGGAACTCTCATGCTGTACCATCACTCCTTTCGTGTACAATGCCGCGGTTTTTACAAAGTTCACAAGATTGTGCAACCAACCCCACCGTCAATTTTAGGACATTTTCATCATTCCCAACTCACTCCTACCCCGAGGAGTCCTTCTGCCACCCCCTCCCGCCACCTGCTCTCTGCAACCTCTAGTCACCGCCCTGTCTCCGGGGCCGGCCTCTGCGGGACATTTCTCAGAAATGGAATCATACAGCATGTGGCCTTTGGGGACTGGCTTCTTCACGGCATGTGCTTTTGTGTCTTGGCTTTGGGGTTTGCGTGTTTTGGTTTTTTGAGCCACATAAAACGAAATTAAAGTAAGAAAGTAAAGTAAACAGATTACTAAGTCCATGAGCCATGGGAGAGAAAAGTGCCTTGTTAAACCATAAAGTGCTTTTGACACATCAACATTCACCACTGGGGGGGGGGGTGAGGATGTGGCAGGGAGCGGGGCTGGGCTTGGTGTCATCTGCCAGGCAGGCCAGGCCCCCTCCCCGCCCGCACAAGAGCAGGAGAGCACAGCAGTTAGGAGTGTGGGCCGGTTCGGCTCAGTGGTTAGTGTCAGTCCTGGGGCCGAGGGGTAGCAGGTTCAATGACGGCCAAGGGCACGGACCTCGGCTGCAGGCTTGATCCCTGGGCCCTGGGGCCTTGCAGGAGACAAGGATAGATGTGTTTTTCCCACATTGATATCTCTCTGTGTCTCCCTCCCTCCCTTCCTCTCTCTCTAAAAAAATAAATAAAATCAGTGGGAAGAATACCCTCGGGTGAGGATTATCAACAACAAAAACAGAGCGGGCTCCAAGCCCAAATCCTGACTCTGCCACTTCCTGCTCGGGGGACCCTGGCAGGTCGCTTCCCCCCTCTGCGCCCCAGGCACCCCGGTGTAAACCAGGGATGACAGCACCTCGCTCATTCTGGCTCTGAGGTGCCAGCAGGCTTAGCTGCGTGCCTGGCACACTGTAACGTGCTCCAGGAACATGGGGTGTGGTGACCGGGACCAGCTCCAGAGATGAGCCTGAGACGCCCTGACCATGTGCGGGACACGGAAGGAAAGAGCCAGGGAACACATTCGGTGGGGAAAGGAGAGGTCCCTGCACAGAAGGCTGAGGGGTCCTGATGCCTGGTAGGGGCTGTGCTGGACAGCGACCACAGCACGTGCAAAGGCCCGACAGGAGGGGGTGCAGAACCCCAAACTGAGCCGAGGATGACGACGAACGAGGAGAGCAGGGCAGAGATCCGGTCTCAGGGCCCAGCACAGACCGTGGCCGAGAGCCTGAGACTCCAGGCGGCTGCTCACAGGGTCTCTGGGCCTCCGAGCTACTGGCAGCCTTTGTCCTGAGCGCCGGAGGGCGCCCAGCAGCCCTGGCCTCTACCACCGGGGACCGTCGTACCCCCTTCCTCGAGAAACAACATCCACAATGTCCCCGGACCTTGTCAAATGTCCCCCTTCTCCCTCATTGAGACCCAGGAGTGAGGACTGGGGAGGACCGGAGGGACCCGTGTCCAGAGAGGGTGGACAGCGGCCCCACCCAGGAAGCAGAGGTGCAGGGAGAGTGCCCCCCCCCCCAGGTGGGGAGGTAGAGGGAGGAGCCCTTATGCCTCTGAACTCGTGCAGCATCCTGCGAGCACCACTGCTCACAGCAACAGATGCCAAAGGTCAGTGACTAAACGCCACACAACTTTCTGGGACGGGGCCCAACTGTTAGGCAATGTTCCGACCCCACCAAGTGCTGGAAACCTGTCCCAGCTGCTTCCCCAGGGTCCCGCCCCTGGACCCGTGTGCTGCCTCCATGTTCTATCTGGACGCTCCCGTGTTTTCTCCACCTCCCTCATTCTCACCACGGCTGGCTCAGAGAGCTAAACTAACTGGCCCGAGGCCACACAGAACTGGTCGCAACAGAGCCAGGATTTGAAGCTAACCCCTAAGGCTGGTGTGGCTCAGTGGCTGAGCGTCCATCTGTGAACCAGGAGGCCACGGTGGATTTCGGTGAGGGCACAGGCCCCGGTGGCAGGCTCGATCCCTGGGGGGGTGTACAGGAGGAAGCCGATGGACGATTCTCATCGCTGATTTCTCTCCCTCTCCCTCTCTCTGAAATCAATGACACCCAGCCCCAAAGCCCCTCTTTGTTCTCTATTCCAATCCCCACCACCACATTCATCACGCAACAGACACAGACCGGCCTGGACCGGTGAGGCGGGCTTGCCTGCAGCTCAGCTCCGTGGGAGGAGCCGAGCTAACTGTGGCCGAGAAAGAGGTGCCGCCAGCCAGAAACGGGGCCTTTGGAGGGGGGGATGGTCTGGTCTGAAAAACAAACTTGGTCACAGGGAAGGGCTTGGTCCCGGCCAGCGCTGGAGGGTCTGGAAGTTCTAGCTGGGAGGGCTGCCTCACAATGGGCTTTGCTCGGACACCCACACAGACACATGGACAGTCAGGAGCCGACTGGACCGGAGGCGGAGGGCGGAGGGCCTCCATAACCACCTGGTGGGAGCTCCATGCCCTCCCCACGGGAGCCAAGGGCCAGAGATTTCTAAAAGATGCCACGCTCCTGAGGGCACATGGCCAGTGGCTGGCAGAGTGGGCACGGGCCTGGCCAGCTCTGGACCCCATGAGCCAACCTGAGGCCCTAACAAAGCCGGCCCCACTCTCCTGCTGTCCCCTTACGATGGTGCCGGGCATGGGGGAACGGGACAGGACCCAAGAGGAGCTGGGGGCTCACAGCCGCTTCCACAAGGTGTCGGTTCGCCTTCGGGGGATCCTGGGGAGCAGGGCCTGGTGGCTGTGCCCACCCCACCTGCAGGGCCATCTGGAGTCAGGCCCTGGCACTGGCCTTGGCGGCAAGAGTGTGGCCGGAGCTCTGAACAAAGGGAGCCAGCGAGGCCCTACAGTCACCGCTGTCCTCACGCCAGCGAGATGGGCCCAGGAAGCAGCTGGCAGGACACGGTGTCAGACTGAGGCCCCCATGTACCTGGCGAAGGCTGACAGCCAGGGAGAAGGGGCTCTTCCTTCCCCCTCAGCCCAAGACAGACAAGAGGACAGGAGCAAATTCCAGCGAAGATGGAGGGTTAACAAAATAAAAAGCACGACTGCGGGCTGAGCATGTGCAGGTGTTTCGCACGCTGTGATCTAGCTCATTACTTCTCCCAGCTTTGGAGGCCTTACGCCCATTTTACAGATGGGAAAGCCAAGGCTGGCAGAGGTCATCACTTACACAAGGGCACACAGCTAGTAAAAGAAATGCCAGCACCGAAAACCCTGGTATGGTTTACTCACAGCCTGTACAGCAGGAGGAGACCAGGCCCTAGGGTTTAACATGAGCTAGATGACACACACAAAAATAAGAAGAAATAAAAGGAACTAGATGACTACTAGATAAACAGGAAGTCCTGCCCCCAGGCTGGTCCTGCACGTGGACCAGGGGCACTGGCTTTCTGAGTAACCCTGGCCTGGCCCTCCCTGTCTCTGGGCCTCAGCTGTGACCAAGTTTGTTTTTCAGACCAGACCATCCCCCCCTCCAAAGAAGGCTCTGGACCGGAGCTGTCCAGGAGCAGGTGTGTGTCTGTGCCAGAAGCTGCCTCTCTGGGCCCTTTGCCCTCAAGCCAGCGGTTCCAGGCTTCAGTCCGGAGCCCCAGAGCCTCGGGGTTGGTAAGAGGGTCCTTCATACCTGGCCCAATTTCACAGGCAGTAAGGGTATGGGTACCCCTTTCACAGGTGAGAATGCTGAGGCTCAGAGGGAGAACGTGACATCCTAGTCACACACATGAGGAGGAGACTGGGGACCTGAACCAGGACCTGCCCCCTGCTCCCCGGCTACGGGGGTGCCGCTCCCTATGCCTGCGTCCAGCCAGCCACTTCCTCCTCCATCCTTCCGAGAAGCTCCACGAGACACCCTCTTTGGGCAAACCACACGCTGGGCTCTAGGGACAGGGTGGAAACCAACCGATGCCGCCTGCCCGGAGGAGCTTGGCTTCAGAGGAAAACCCTTGAACAGCTGTGCCATGCACCGTACCCTCCTCCCCTCTGCGCCCAGCGGTGCTCCAGGAGGGGGAGCTACGAGGCGATCAGCCTCCGGGAACCGGACGTCTGGCTGGCGCTTCGGTTTACGATGCTTTCCCGTGCCACGTGTAACGCCACTCTGCCTCCTGCCAGCCCGTGGTCAGCCCGTGGTCAGCCAGGCAGCAGATCACACACACTTTCCAGATGGGGACTCCAGCCCGGCACAGCCGCCCAGAGCAGGCCTGGCGCCCCCGCTGCCTGATGCCTCCCTCCCACGTTCTGTCTCCACACTCCGTCCTCCCTGGGGGCTGGCGTGAAGGCACCGTGGGGGCCACTCAGCCCTGATGCTCCTGCTTCCCCGTGTGGGAAGGGGGACAGCGAAGCGCCATCGCTAGAGCTGCTGACAGATCCACTCTTTAGCAGGGAGCGTGCACTGAGACCACGCGCCCTCCCCCTCTCCGTCCCTGTCCCCTCTGACAGGCAGGGGAGGCTCCCTGGTTAGCAAACTTCATACCCAAGAGGTGGGGACCGCCTCACCCCAGCTCTGAATCAATCTGGGAGCCCAGCACACTGACTGGCCGGTCTCCTCCTTTCCCAAGGACACGGACGGGGCGAGGGGACACCGGCGCTGGCCGCTCGCTCTGGCAGCTCCAGTCCAGTTACCCACACAGACCTCCTCTGTGAACAGCCGCCAGGAGGGCCCCGACTCCAGACCGGCCCCTCGGGCGCCTGGGAAGCGGCTCTGGAAGGCATGGGCCTCTGCCTCTTTACTCTGGGGCCAGATGACAGTGATTTGTTTAAAACAACAAAACCAGAGCAAACTCAGACTTCCAGCAGGAAGCACATCCGGAGAGAGGGAGCCTAAAAGCTACGACCCCTGCCCTCCCTCCCCCGAGGTTAGTGGGGAGCCTGTGTCATTCCCAAGCCTGCCCGCGCTGAATCCCGGAGGCCGGACCCAGGGAGGGGCCTCTCCGTCCACCACATCCTGCTCCCAGGAGACGAGGCCCGGGGTGCTCACCCAGCCTGGGCTTTCCCACGCCCGCTCGAGGCCCAGGGCGCCCATGGCGGGGAGCGGAGCTGAAAGCACCCTTCTCTGCCCAGCCTGCCTCACCCAGCCTGCTGCTGCCACCCCCTAGGAGCAAGTGACTAACACACGCCGCCCCAGAACCAAGTTCCGACTTCAGAGCCTCAAATCCCGGCATCTTCCCTCCTCCCCATCCCCACAGTTGTGTGTGTGTGTGTGTGTGTGTGTGTGTGTGTGTATGGGGGGGGGGGGGGTCCAGAGCCGCTGAGCTGGAGGCAGGGACACTTACCCAGGTAGATGTCTCCGAAGGACCCACTCCCGATCTTCCGGCCCAGGCGGTACTTATTCCCCACACGGAGCTCCATGGTTCGCGCTCACTGTGGGGGGAAGCAGACACACGGGGCTCAGCGGAGCTGGCAAAGCCCCAGGAACCGGGAGAGCAGCATTCTCCCTCCCACTGCCCAGGAAGGCGGCCTGGCCCCGCCGGCCTGAGGAGAGCCTCCAGGTGTGGGCAATGGCTGAGGCCGGCTGAGCAGGGCCAGGCAGAAGGTGGGATTGGAGACAAGGCCCGGGAGCAAGTTTTGGGGGGCCCTCATTCAGGGACCCTCCAATTGGAGCCCCTCAGGGGGCAGGCCAGTCATGAGCCAAGACCCTAAAAGGAAAATCAAGGACAAAGGGGGGGAAAGGAAGGGGGGTGCAGGAGCTGATCGGCCAGGTGGTGCTACCATGGCAACCACCAGCAAGTTCCAAGCTCCAGGGATGGGAAGACACGCTGAGCAGAGGGGGTCCCTAAGCTCCGAGGTCCTTGTAGGGCTCAGCAATCCCAGCTGCCCCGGCCCCATCCCCACCCCAGGCTTCCAGTGCCAAGAACCAGGGCCGGGCTTCCACAGAGGCCAGACCCTGCCAGTCTACAGTGTGCCCGGCAGGAGGGGCCCCTTCCTCCGTGGTCTCCTCCTCGCTACCTCACCATAGAGCCTCCCCCACGGGCCGCTCCGCACCCAGGTCTCTGGGTGACTGTTGGGGCCGGACTCCTCTGGACCGGGACCCTCCGGAGGGTCTCCTAAGAGGGCAACTGAACAAGGGAAGGGACTGAAGCCGGGTTCTGGCCTCCAGTCTGAGCGTCTGTGGCATGGGGGGAGGGGCTGCGGGGAGAAGGATACTGATTCACAGCTTGTCTACATCCTGTGTCCCAACCCGGGTGTCCAAGCCTGTGGGACATCAGGGTCCCTGGTGAACACCCCCCGCTCTGGCCTGGAAGCTTGGGGTCCTGGCCCGGGGAGGAGGGAACCCCATAGGGGGGAGAGAGGAAATGGTAGCCCACGAATGAAACTGGGAGAGGAGTAGGGGACCCTGAGATCTCACTGAGTCTACAAGAGCCAGCGTACAAGACTATCAAGAGGGGCCTTCGGCCTGGCTGGTGTGGCCAGTGGGTTGAGCACCAGCCATACACTGAAAGGTTGCTGGTTCAATTCCCGGTCAGGGCACATGCCTGGGTTGTGGGTTCCGTTCCAAGTTTTCTCTCACATCAATGTTTGTCTCTTGTCTCTCCCTCCCTCCCTCCTGGGGGAAAAAAAGGGGAGGGGGCCTTCATCGGCAGCCCCGGAGGCCATGCCCTGTCCACCCCGGCCACAGCAGCCAGTTAGTGCATCTGCTCACTCACCACCAACACGGGGTTCCTGCCTCCCCACCTGGCGGCCTTCACCCCCACAAACAGGACTTAATTCATGCCAGGGCCGGCAGCTGTGCCAGGCACAGAGGTCCTGTCCCTTCCCCAGGCCAAGAGCTGGCCTCCTCCTCCAAAGCCAGATGCTCCTGGGAAGGGAGAGGGCCAGGTCCCCGCTCTGTCCCTGGCAGAGGCACGGTGCCACAGCTCCTGCCCCGGAGTCATCCCGTCGGCACCTGGCTCCAGGGGAGCCACCACCAACCAGCCCTTCCCAGTGGCCACAGGAAGCAGTCCCACCCCAGAGTGGGCCAAACTCGGCTCCTAACCACGGGCCTCGGCCGGTCCCAGCCGAGGTGCCAGGCTGCCAGCTCACACGCTCCATCCACATCTGCAGGAAACCCACAGCCACAGGCCGACTGTCCCGTGTGTACGCTCGCTCAGAGAAAGGGAAGCGCCCCGCTGGGGGAGGGGGTGCGGGCCTACACACTCGGGGTCCCCCCTCCCCACGTCTGTGCTCCACCGACGCCAATTCAGAGACCACGCGTGGCAGCCGGGAAAGCCGCAGGTTCGGAAAAGGAACATAAATACACCCGCATCCTATATTACATAAATACCCACGCCAGGTTATATAAATACCCATGCCCTCCGTCTGGTTGTCTTACATAAATATACGCACATGACCCCCCAACCCTCCCCACGCATGGGGCTACCTGCGGGGAAGGGGAGGAGAGAAGGTACAAACCATCCACCCCACTCTGTGCTGGCCACCCAGACCCCGGCCGGAGTCCGGCCGGTCCCAGCACCCCCCAATCCCTCCAGCCTCCCCCAGGAGAGGAGAAAGGATTGAGTCAGGAATGGGCTCTCCAGTTCTGTGCTGCTTCTCCCTCGGGGGCGGGAGAGGGGGCAATAAACCAAGTATTAAAAAAAAAAAAAAAAAAAAAAAAAGGCAGGAAGACTCCGGAGTTCCAGCTAGTTACAATCAGACAACTACCCAGCCACACAACACACGGACAGTTTTCTAACTCCCTGTCCGCCCCCCAACACCGGACCCCCCAGCCAGGGCCCTTGTCTCTGGACCAGTAAAATAAAATCCGGAGGAACATGCTAGGCAGAAGGCAAAAGAGCCCAAACACATTTGGGGGTGCAACTTAAGATAATCTGACCCCCTCCCCTCTCCCCAGATCTCTCACCCCGAGGGAGGCGGCGGCTGCGCCCAAACCCGCAGGGAAACTAAGGCAAAGTTGGGAGGGGGCCCACCCCACTGGAGTGTGGGGGTGCTGGAGCCTGGGAATCCTCCCTCCGGAGACACCCCGGCGCACACGGAGTTTTAGGTTCCACCGAGACTCGCAAAACAAGGGTTTCTCCCGGGCAGAAACGGGAGAACCCGAGCTGATAAATAACCCCCACCCCTTTCTTCTCTCCACAAAGGAACACAGACCCGGGGCTGGGTGACTACACACCCCTCCCTCCCCGCCCCCCCCCCCCGGCGCCCCGTCCCACCTCCGGGAGCAGCAGCCTCGCTGACCCCCCAGGCCCGGAGCACCCAGCCAGGGAGGGGGGCGCTGCTGATGCTCCGGCCAAACAGGCAGGAGCCCCGGGTCTGACGGAGCAGCTCGAAAGAGCAGTATCGGTGCCCCCCGCACCCAGGCCCGGACCCCCGCCCTCCGGGTCCCCAAATCACAGCCTGGGGTGGCCGCAGAGGGCTGGCTGCGCCCTTAAAGGGTCCGCGCTGGGGGAAGGGGAGGCGGGCAGAACTGGGGGGCCTCGCCCCATCCCCCCTCGAGCCAGCAAAATAATGGTGTGCCCCCCCCCCCCCGCGCGCTCGGCCTCAGCGGCGCCTTTGTCCTCGCGGCCGGGCGGGCGGCGGGCGGCGCCCCCTCCCCCCGGCTCCGGCGCAGCGCGGCGTCCCCTCCCTCCCTGCCGCTCGCGCAAACACAAAGAGGCGGGGGGAGCCCCGTTTCCCCCGGGTTTGCGCCCCTCCGCGAGCCCCGGGCCCCCCAATATTTACCCCGCCGGGAGGGCGCCGGTGCCGGGCCGCTGCTCGGGGGGCCGCCGCGGGCGGGAGCGGCCCGCCGGGCCGGATGCGGGAGGATTCGCGGGGCCGCCCGGCCGCCAGCCTCTCCGCCGCCGCCGCCGCTCGCCCCGCCGGGCTCCGCTCGGGCTCCTGCCGCCGCCGCCGCCGCCTCCGGGCGCCCAGCCCGCCGCCCCCGCCGCCGCCGCGCTCCCGCCCCGCGCGCGCCCGCCGCTCCCATTGAGCCAGGCCCGCCCGCTGACGTCATCCCCGGCCCGCCGCGCCCCGGAGAATTTAAAGGGCCCGCGCCCTCCGCTCCCGGGGCGCTGGGGGCCGCAGCGGGGAAAGCACGGCCCCCCAGCCTTGCAGGAACGCGGCCTCCCGGGCGGGGCCGGGGAGCACACACAGGCACTGACCTCCCAAAAAAACGAGGTGGGGTGGGCCGGGGCGAAGGAGGGCGCACACAAAGCTGGGGTGTTCTAGACCCAAATCGTCTGACCCCCCTCCAGCCCCCCGCTGGGCGCGCTCTCTCAGCATCACAGGCCCCTCCGCGGGCCGTGGACTCACGCCTTACTGCACAAGGGGAATGTTCAGAGAGTTGGGGTTCACTCGACTTCCGGCTCCGAGTCTGCAGAGACCACAGGCCGGATTGGTTCTGGGGAGAAAGATTTGACCGGACAACAAGTGGGGCCGGTGTTGCTCAGTGGTTGGGCCTCGACCTATGAACCAGGAGATCACAGTTCGATTCCCAGTCAGGGCACATGCCTGAATTGCCCATCAGTGATTCCCTCTCATCATTGATGTTTCTATCTCCTTCTTGGAAATCAATTTAAAAAAAATTTTTTTTAAAGAGAGAGAGATGGAAGGATTCTGACTAAAGGTCCAGAGAGAGCCAGGGCTCAGCTACCCCTCCCCCCCCAAGAAAAAAATCAAAGGCAAGGACCTTTTTCTTCTCCCTCTGCCCTCTTTCAGCAGCTCAAACTGTGATAGGCCCAGCAGGCTCCTTTCCTCTTCATTTCAGCAGGGACCCCGCAGAGTCTTGAGCCAGGGCCCTGTGTTCTGGGCTGAGGCTTCCCTATCTGCAAATCAGGAAGGACCCCTCCCCAGGGTCGCTGGGAGGATTATTCGGCTTCCTGCTGGCTTCCAGAAGAGCCATGAAAGGTTCCCGGGGCAAAGTCATTAAAATAATGGTGTTTACACCAGGCCATGCGAAGCCCCACGTGATGACACATCCACTCACACGCACAACTGTGACCGACACACAACACGCAGAGTGCACAGCACCCCAGCCCAGAGGCGTGGCTCCTGGGTAGAGTCACTTCCGTAACAACCGCATCCTCAGAGCCCGAGGGACTTAGTCACACGCTGCCCAGGCTTGCGGGAATCCCGATTCCCGCAGACCGGGCTGTCTGAGCGGAACAGGAAGCTGGCCCGGTGAGGGGAAGGGTCTCGCCCGGGACCACACAGCGCAGCAGGATACTCTGTTCTCCCCATGGCCCCTGGGAAGCTGGATCTATGATGAGCTCATTTCCAAGGGCAGTAGAGTGAGGACCAGCCTCCCAGGGGAGGGCTGCAGCTGGCACTGGGCCGCCTTTGCCAGGACAGGGGGCGGAGGGGGTGGGAGTGGGGGTGGGTGAGACACAGGTGTCACCAGCCAAGGGAGTGGGTTTTTGCTCAGCCTGGTGGTTTTG